ACGCATTATTCCCTCACTTTAACACAAGGGGTTCTTAATGCCTCTCCAGGCCGCATCCTTCTACAGCACACCCCTTCCTGCCTTGCAAACATCCCTGGGAGTGTTGTTCAAGGTCCACATGCACTGGTTCAGCCCCCACAACCGTGGGCAGCAGATGCCAGGCTGCAGGCAGTTTCAGCAGCAGCACAGTGAGATCCCTGCTACCCAGCCGTGCTGCCATGCCCAATCCAGGACTCCCTCGTCGTCGTCGCTGACGGCGACGGAGTCGCGCCGTGAAGGCAGCTGGGTGCTGGGACTGTGCTCCAGGCTGCCAGGTCCTTTATTGAAGGTGACGTCATGCAACAGGGCATGCAAGACGGCTCCTACGGCTAAAACGAAATGCGAGTCAAGACGGCTCGAACCTGCGACTCCCGCTACTACGCCGCTATGTGACCTGTCGCTATGTGCCCGCTCGGCCCACTCTGCCCCCCACTCGGCTCACTCGGCTCACTCGGCTCCGCCGCTCCGTGCGAGTCGCTCTCCGGGCCTTTTCCTTTAGCGGCTGAACTTCCTTTGCATGCCTATAATTATATTAAGGCCTCATGCGAGGGTTCATTCATTCATTCATTCAGCACACAGACCTCTTGCTCGAGGGCGGCCTCTTTGGCCTGGGCAGCCCGGGCCGCCCTCTCCCCGGGCGCATGTTCGGTGTTGGAGGGGTGTGCCCAGTGATAGGGGGCCCCTGAAGGCATGCGCCGAGGCCGGGAAGCGTGGATCGGCGCTGCTGCACGCTTGACGATTTGAACAGAACCCCGTGCCGCCGAGCTGCGGCCGTAGTTTCCTGCCAGAAGCCCACGGCCGCAGCCTGGGGACGCGTCGGCGCGGCGTTTGGGCCCACGACCTGTTGCCGCCCCCGCCGCAGGGGTGCCAGCTCTGCGGCGGCGGCGGCGACACGCTGCGACGCCCCCGTGCCCACCGAGCTGCGGCTGTAGCTTCCTGCCAGAAGCCCACGGCCGCGGGCTGGGAACTCGGTGGCACGGCGTTTGGGTCCACGGCTTGCTTCCGCCGCCGCCGCAAGGGTGCTGCCTGCGGCGGCGGCGGCAGCGCACGTGGTGACGCCCCACGTTTCCTTGCCTCCCATACACCTGACCCGTCCTGCGCTTCACTTTGTTTAGGGAGGGGCTGCTCACTGCTCATTGCTCATTGCTCATCGCACACTGCTCAATGCTCATTGCCCTATATCCCACCCCAGCCGCAGGACTTTACTGCCGCCCGCGCTCCGCCCCATTGGCCGCTTGCGCGCCCCATCCCCCCTCGATGGGGCCCGCCTACACCGGGGCCTCGCCCCCTCCCGCCCACTGCTTTCTCAACGGCCCCGAGCCGGGGCTGCCCTCATTGCATAGATAGTGCGCCTTCCCCTGCTTTTCTAGTGACCTAGCGTTCCGCACTGCCGTTTGGCCAGCCCGAGCTCCCGTCCCGTTGCGTTTCTCCCCAATGCGCCATGCCAATTTGCCAGTCATACACACGTGTCGCTGCGTGCCCTGTCAGCTGCTTGCGTTGCATGTCGCCTTGCTCCACCCCTGTTTTATTGCTTTCTTTGCTTTCGCCCGGTCCCCGTCCCGTTTCGGCGGGGAGTCTATGTTGCAAGCTAGTTCTTGCTGTACCAGACTTTAAACCCACACAAGCAAAGGGTCCGGCCCCTCGGTTGGGCTGTTTGGCTCCGGACCCCGGAGCGCACCCCATAAGCCCATCCGGAGGCTCCGGCCGGCCCCCGCTAAGACAACCCCCCTTCATGTCTCTCAATCATTCCACTTCCCTTGATCCCTAGACCCCTTGATCCCTAGAACCCTTGAACCCCTCGACCCCTTGCCTTGTAACTCAACAACGGCACTCCTTGACGCCTTTAGGCCCCCGCCTTAGGCTCACTCCCTTGCTAGACCCGTGCCGTTGCACGTGGTTTCAGCTCTTGATTCCTTGAACCCCCATGCACACCCCCGCTCGCCGTGACCGCTCCCCTTCCCCCACCAACCCACTCATTGCCTCTCTTGACGCCGTCTACAAAGAGGCTCACAAGCAACACAAGCGCATAGCGGAGCTTGAGCTCGAGAACGCCAAGCTCAAGAAAAGGAACAAGTCCCTCGAGGCCTCCACCGCCACCGCTACCGCCGCCGCGGCCGCCGCCAACGCCGCCACCGACAAAGCCACCGCCGCCGCCACCGCCGCCGCCACCGCCGCCGCCGCCGCCTCCATCGCGGAGCACGAAGAACACAACACCCTCATCTCCAAGACCTTCATCAAGACCTCCAAGGAGCTAGACGCCGTCAAAAGCACTCTTGCCACCCTCGAGAAGGACCACGCCGCCCTCAAGGAAAGCCACACCACCCTCAAGGAAAGCCACACCACCCTCAAGGAAAGCCACACCACCCTCGAGGAAGGCCACGCCGCCCTCAAGAAGAACCACACCGCCCTCAAGAAGAAGTACAAGTCCCTCAAGGGGGAAGCCGACACGCTCGCCACGCGCTACCGCCACCTCGCCAAGCGCTACAAAGACGACGACGCCCCGGCGTTCAAGAAAGAGCTTTGCCCCCTCGAGGACTTCCTCAACCAAGACAAGGGCAAATGCGGCCGGGCCGAGCTCTATTGAGCTGTGACAATGCCACGTGTCCAGTATACACATCCGCCGCACAGATACCCTCATTCCCGCCTTTCCCGCCCCAGACACCGCACAATTGTGTTTCCCCACCCCATTCCCAGTTGATCGACACTTGTGCCACTCCCTTTCGTGCACCTGACCCAGCCATTATGCTCACCGATACCATGATGCCTTTGTGCCGCATCGTACCCGCATCGTATCAGGAATATCCCAAGTATATGCCGGGAATATGCTCCTCCACCCCAGATCTATTTAACGCCGCCTCTAGTGCGAATTTACTACTCTTGCTGCCTTTGTAAATACCTCCCGTCAACAGTCGGCCTCGGGGGACTGCAGGGCTTCCTCCAGGCTGGTGGGCTCAGCAGCGGTGGTGGCAATGTTGACGATGGCGGTGGTGCGATCAGTGATGCGGTAGGCGTCGTCCTGCCACAAGCTGGCTGGACGGCGTGCAGCGGCGCGCTCGGTGCGTCGCAGTGCGATGGGAGGGGAAGGTGGAGCTTCGGGCTCGGTTGGCGCTCCCACGGCTTCATTGTCGTCGATGTCGCTGAAGGGAATGGTCTCGGGCAAGTTGGTCTTGGACAGGTTGGTCTTGGGCAGGTTGTTCTTGGGCAGGATGGAGCTGGTCTCATCGAAGGTGACATCGCGGCTGATGACGGTTGTGCCGTTGTCAAGTAGAATCTTGTATCCCTTGGTGTTGGTGGGGTAGCCGATGAAACGGCCGGGCTCGCTGACGGCGTCGAGCTTGGTGCGCAGCACGGTGGGAACGTGAGCGTAGGCTCGGGCTCCGAATGTGCGCAGGTGGGACAGGTCAGGCTTGGTGCCGTGGAACAGTTCGTAGGAGGTGGTGTCTTGGGATGAGATTGGAGAGCGGTTGCGCAGGTAGTTGGCGGTGACGATGGCTTCTGCCCACAGGAACTTGGGCAGGTTGGCATCCGCCAGCATTGGACGCGCCTTATCCAGCAGCATGCGGTTGAGACGCTCGGCTTTGCCGTTCTGCTTGTTGAGCTGTGACAATGCCACGTGTCCAGTCTACACATCCGCTGCATTGATACCCTCATTCCCGCCTTTCCCGCCCCAGACACCGCACAATTGTGTTTCCCCACCCCATTCCCAGTTGATCGACACTTGTGCCACTCCCTTTCGTGCACCTGACCCAGCCATTATGCTCACCGATACCATGATGCCTTTGTGCCGCATCGTACCCGCATCGTATCAGGAATATCCCAAGTATATGCCGGGAATATGCTCCTCCACCCCAGATCTATTTAACGCCGCCTCTAGTGCGAATTTACTACTCTTGCTGCCTTTGTAAATACCTCCCGTCAACAGGTTATGGGCCCCAATCCCCTCCGCTGCCCTTGAGTCCGGCACCCGCTCTTGCCGTCACCCCAGACGCCCTTCCCGCGCACCGGCACCTTGCGCCCCACGCCACGGCCCTTGCGCCCCGCCCCAAAGACCAAAGACCAACCCTAAGCGCCGCCTGCGCCTGGCTTTGCTTGCACAACAGCCTTTGCTTGCACATCAGCCTTTGCTGGCACATCAGCAGCCAGCCGCCAGCTGTCAGCCGTTCAGAGAGCCTTGCTGAGCCAGCCCCAACCTGCTTGAGCCAGCCCGCACTTGCATACATCAGCGCTTGTGCAGCAGAGACAGCTTCTGCCTGT